GGCACAAAAAAAAACCTCAACAAATACAAAAAGATTGAAATAATTCCATGCATTCTACCAGATCACAATGCAATAAAGCTTACAATCAACACTGGAAGAAACCCTAATCACCACATGAATACATGGAGATTAAATAACACACTCCTGAATGATGAATGCGTCAAAAGAAAAATTAAGAAAGATATAAAAGTATTCCTAGAAATAAATGAAATGGAAAATACAACACAACAAAACCTCTGGGACATGCTGAAAGCAGTCCTTAGAAATTTATAGCTCTAAGTGCCTACGTCAAAAACTTGGAAAGAACACAAATAAATGACTTAACATTGCAACTCAAGACACTTGAAAAGCAACAGCAAACGAAACACAAACCCAGCAGACAAGAAGAAATAACAAAAATCAGGGCAGAAATTAATGAAATCAAAACAAAGAAAACAATACAAAGAATCAAGAGCTAGTTCTTTGAAAAGATAAATAAGATTGACGGACAGCTATCCAGATTAACAAAAATAAAGAAAGAGCACCTCCAAATCAACAAAACCAGAGATGAAAGGAGAAACATCACAACAGACACCAGAAAGATACAGAACATTAGAAGGAAATACTTTAAAAACCTTACGCTACTAAATTTGAAAACCTAAAAGAAATGGATGGCTATCTAAAGGCATGGGAACCACCAAAACTAAATCAAGAAGAGATTAACAGCTTAAACAGATCCATAACAAAAAAAGAAATTGAAACAGTAATACAAAACATCCCGACTGTAAAAAGCCCAGGACCAGATGGATTTACAGCAGAATTCTATCGGACATTTAAAGAAGATCTATATCCAATACTGTTTAATTTATTCAAAAAGATAGAAATGGAGGGAGAACTCCAAAATTCCTTCTATGAAACCAGTATCACTCTCATACCAAAGCCTTGTAAAGATACAACCAAAAAAGAAAACTATATACCCATATCCTTAATGAACATAGATGCAAAAATTCTCAACAAGATATTTGCAAACCGCATACAGACACACATCACAAAGATCATCCAACATGATCAAGTCAGCTGTATCCCAGAGAGGCAGGGATAGTTCAATATACATAGTCAATAAACATCATAAATCATACAAATGGGCTCAAAGACAAGAACCACATGGTCATCTTAATAGATGCAGAGAAGGCCTTTGACGAAATTCAACATGCATTTATTTTCAAAGTCCTAGAGGCAATTGGACTGGAGGGAACATATCTCAACATAATTAAGGCCATATATAACAAACCCACAGCCAACATCATTCTAAATGGAGAAAAACTGGAAGCATTCCCATTGAAATCAGGAACCAGACAAGGCTGTCCACTGTCTCCACTTCTCTTTAATGTAGTGCTTGAAACTCTTGCAAGAGCAATAAGACAAGAGCAGGAAATTAAAGGAGTACTAATTGCAAAAGAAGAGGTCAATTTATCACTTTTTGCAGATGATATGATATTATATCTAAGAGACGCCAAAAATTCCACCAGAAAACTCCTAGAAATTATTAACACGTTCAGTAAAATGGCAGGTTATAAAATTAACCAAGTCTGTAGCCTTTCTATATACCAATAACAAGCAATTTCTTATATACCAATTTCTATATACCAATAACATTGGGAAAAACCTACAAGATATAGACATAGGAAAGGATTTTCTAAACCGGACATCAATTGCTCAGGAAACAAGGGCAAGAATTAACAAATGGGACCTCATTAAACTAAAGAGCTCTGTACATCAAAGGAGGCAACTAGGGAAGCGAACAGAAAGCCCACAGAAGGGGAGAAAATCTTCACCAGCGACACATCTGACAGAGGTTTAATATCCAGAATATACAACGAACTCAAAAAACAGAGAATGGAGACAAGAAGTAACCCAATTAAAATATTGGCTAAGGAGCTGAACAGAGAGTTCTCAAAAGAAGTAAAGATGGCTATGAAACATCTTAAAGATGTTCAACATCACTAATAATTAGGAAAATACACATTAAAACCACTTTAAGATTTCACCTTACCCCAGTCAGACTGGCTAAGATCAAGAGAACAAATGATACCAAATGTTGGAGAGGATGTGGGGAAAGCAGAACACTCATCCACTGCTGATGTGGCTGCAAACTTGTTCAACCCCTATGGAAAGCAGTATGGAGAACTCTTAAAAAACTACAAATGAATCTACCATTTGACCCAGTTATACCACTCCTTGGCATATACCCAAAGAACTCATCTGATTACAGAAACACTTGTACATCCACGTTTGCAGCTGCTCTTTTCACAATAGCTAAGAGATGGAAGCAACCTAAGTGTCCCTTAATTGACGAGTAGATAATGAAAAATGGTTCATTTATATGAAGGAGTTTTACTCAGCAGTAAAGAAAAATGAAATCATGAAATTTGCAGGTAAATGGATGGAACTAGAAACTGTTATACTAAGTGAAGTAACACAGACTCAGAAAAAAAATAGACATATGTTCTCCCTCATATATGGGTCCTAGAACCAAACCCTGATAAGTTAGTACGCATCCAGACATAATTACAGGAACCAGGATAATAGAAAGGAAACAGAGAGGTAAAGGAAAAGAAATAACCTGAAAGAGAATAGTAGGAAACAGGCCTTAATAAGGGAGATATTGATAAAAATTGGGTTAGTTTAAGGGAGAGAGGAGGGAAGGATATACAAGGAACCTAGGGGATAAAGGAAAAGAAGTAGCTCAAGAGAGGTAGGACCGTTGGAGGAGGGTATTATTAATGGAGAAAGGGTGGAAATAGGGGCACCTTAAATGGGAAAACCATGATGGAGGGGTAAGACAATGCGAGAGATAATGAGTTTTGAAAATCAGAGGGAACCATATTACTCCTACAACCTACTGACAAATATTATATAACAGATCAAGAAATATATGTCTAGGTAAGGTTTATCTGAGAATAATTGGTCTTTGCCCAAGATTTAGCTATATGACACACAGTAATTGAAAGTACCAGACTGGTGGAACTAACCTTCTTGGGTGTTTAAACGACATACTTTGAGGCCTATAATAATTTGGTCAGGGGGACATAAAGGACAGATTTTGTTCCTTGCCTTCCTAAGTTGACTAGTTGTAGGGGACTATGAGCATCTCTCAAAATGTCCTGTAATTGTGGTGGGTCACCTGTCCTCTTGATCAAGGAGGCCAAGGAGACCCCAGCAGATGGACTTGAACCAGTGTCCAGTCTACAAAGATGAGGGTCAACACAGAGGAATCATTTCCTCCATTCTTCCAAGTGAAACCAATCATGGTCAAGCAGGACCTTTGACTTATCTTCACATAGGTGGAACTGGTAAAAGAAAGGAGCCAGGCGCTCCTCCCAAGCCCATGTGACCCCTGAGGAAAAGATCCTTAAACGAACCTAAGAGTAAAAATAAATTGGTTTATCCGGGCCAACTGTATGGCCTTAAACACCCAAAAGGAAAGTATAACCAAAGATTAAAGGGGCCAATATAATTTCTTAAGAGTTCATGTATGAAATTCTAAAAAGAAATTATTTAAAAAATCTAGACCTCAATCTTATCTAAAGGAATATTGACAACTGATTACCACTAGATGAGGAACAGCTGACCCTCCTAAAACAAAGATCTCTAGATAGGCTGACTAGATTCACCAGAAAGGCAAGTAGTGGGGAATGGCTGGTAGTGCTGACAACACAGCAGACAGTAGCAGGGATATCAGTGTATAAGGGCTCTAGTTGGGGGAATGAGGCTTTGGGAAGGTGCCATCTGGGAAGTGGGAGTATAGTTGAATAAGATGGTTTGGGATGTTCTGTGTCACACACACACACACACAAAATCATCAAATTAAAAAAAATATATTATATTTGAGGAGGAAGCATGGAAATTTACTTCATGCTAATTAGGAGAAGTGATAAACATTACCATTGAAATCTACCCGATGACTTCATAGACATACACATGTGCCGAGGATCCAAGTGCAATTGATTATGACTATTAATAATCAGATATATACAGATTAGAGTTGCATGCACCAACATCTCAGTGTTAGTAACAAAACCAATGAGTCTTTCTGCCAGGAAAAATATATTCTAGAATGAAATGGAGATCTTTTTTAAAGATTAAAATCTCATTCAATTTTATGTCTTACAGGGCTTATACTGAGTTCAATATTGTATAACTGTATTAACTCAACTGTGAACCTAGAAACTTGTACCCACTTTTGCACCCACTTTTGCTCTGGAGTGTGTGACTGAATATGTTAAAGCTTTAGTGAAATGCTTCTTCTAATCATATGGTTATTAAAATTTTTTTAAATGATAAAAACAAAATAATAATTCTTAAAAAATTTACAGCCAATTTTGAAAGAGATGCATCTTAGCTCTGGAAATTGTTATTGAATATGTCAATGCTGTTGTAATGAAATGCTTCTAAATATGTGGTTACTAAATAAATAATTTAACCCCCCCCAAAAAAAAACCATATCTTAGTATACTTAATGGGAAAGATCAACTTCCATACAGTAATAGTTGGGGAACTCAACAGCTACTTTGGTAATGGGGAGATTATCCTGCCAGAAAATCAAACACAACAAAAAGCAAAGCCAGGCCTAGTGGCACGAGCCTGTAATCCTGGTTACTTGGGGAGGTTAGGGAGGAAAGAAAGCCTGCTTGAACTACAGGGAGTTCAGGGCCAGCTGAAAAAAAATCCTAGAGTAGCTCTGTAATAGAATACAGGCTAGAATAGACTGAGGCTGTAGGCTCAGTCTCCAGCAGGTACCACTCCTCACCACAGATCAAGTTCAACTGGACCCTACACCAACAGGCTGAGTGACATCTATAGAACACTCCAAAAGGTGCAAACTAATACTCTATAATCAGCACATCGAACATTCTCCAGAATAAATCATGTGGTAGGCTGCCAAAGAAGTCCTAAAAAATGTTAATCGAAGAAAGGCACGGACCAAGGGGCAGAGGGATGAAGAGATGATAGATGGACCAGTGCTCAATTTAGAAGCACAAAACATTACATTTTGAAACAATACAGAGATGATTAGCATGAATTCTTCAAGGATGCCATGCAAATTTGTAACACTGTCCATATTTTTTTGATAGAAGAAATAAATCCTGATACTCTGTGGCACAGCTGGGCGAATGTAATTAACAGTCATAACTTATATGTCTCAAAATATTAGGGGTGGAATGGCTAACATATCTTGGAGCACACAAACAGTACAAGAAAGGTGAAAATATCAGAGTTTAATTTTTCAACAAGTGAATATTTTAGCTTTTAATATGTAAAGATGACTTAATATGCAAATATGCACAGAAATCTAAAATTTATTTTCTAGACAGATTAATTGTAGTTTGAATATATTCACTAGGTTCTGAAGAACTTGAATGGATTAACTACAAGAAAAGTCATGTGAAATGCTTTTCTAATTTGAGAACATTTCTATCATTTTCAGAGCAGCTGAGAAGTTTTCTGAAAAGATCATTTTTGTAATGTAAGTTGCTTTTACAAAAAATTCTTTCAAAGCACATTTTTTTCAATTATGATTTAGGCTATTACATGAAAGTCTTTATGTAACTAAGTTACAAACATAGCAATATAACTAGTTCTATATAAGCCTAAAACATTTAACATATAGTCCAAAAATAACTAATGTAATCAAGATATGGTATTTTCCACTCTACTTGAATACATCTTATTTCCTGTGATACAGATGTTCTAGTAACCTTTAGTTCTAAGATCTACTATAAATGTAGAACTTAGTTTATAATTTTTAAAATCATATTGTAAAACTGCCAAGCGTTTAAATAGTAGTAAACATAGTCCCAATTAAATAAAACCTGAGTATTTCAAAGCTTAATTGTCAATTCAATAAAATATCTCTGAAAGAAATGTGTACAAACACACATGCAGGAGCACTCAAAAATAACTCCACTCATTCCTGTCTTAACTATATTCAAGCACTTGTGTAATACATTCCCTCTTCTAGCATGAAAAGCTGTGATTTGCTTCTAATCCCTAGAATACAGTGATGACCAGTCATTTCCACTTCCTATATTTTAAAATGTTATGGCCTGTTTCCACCTAGGAGACCCTCTAACATGCTAGCTTTGTTAAGCAAGTGGTCACGCTGGAGAAGTCCATGCTGCAATAAAGTGGGATTGACAGAAAGAACTGAAGACCTTAGCTACCGATCCACATAAGGCTCATGCTGATGTAACTACAGGAGTCTAGAAGCAGATTTGTTTCAAGACACACTTTTAGAGAAGAACCAAGACATGCTCCTCCACCCACTTTGAGACCAAGTCTTGCCATATAACTCAGGATGGCATCAACTTTGTGATCCATCTGTCTTAGCATCTCAAATATTGGGATGGCATGCATGTCCCACCATCCCTGGTCCCTGGCTGACAAATTGATTGCAGCTTCATAGACGATCTACCTAAGCCACAGTTAGTTTTCCAATCTACAAAAACAATGTGAGAAAAATAGGACATAGAGAAATCAGGGTGGAACTAAGCAGGAAACTCTCTCACTGCTGTCTAGCATTTACAGTACTGAAAGGCGCTGTACAGGCTGCTAGAGGAGAAAATTCAGCAGAGGTCCTATCCAGCTGTAGATGATGTATGCTATAATACCAACCCACCAGGCAAGATTTGTCCTCTGCTGCAATAGTGGCATGACTGATTTGGGGATAGCCAATTAGTTGATTGAATTTGATGCACAGCCCGTGTGAGGGAATGCACCCTCGATATTATAAACCTGGTCAAGATCTTATGGATGTGAAAGGCATGGATCCAAGGTGTGGAATACACTACCGTTGCTTCTCTAAATGAATATGCTGTCCAACTGCCTTTTAAATATTTGTGTTCATACCTAACCAGTGCAATACTCAGCCTGGAGTAGGTACAGAAGCTCTTTTTCATAGAGGATGATGATTAATGCAGAGACTCATCTGCTCAAAATGCGGATAAGTAACTGATGAGTGCTCAGCCTTAAACTGTACATCTGTATCACCTCCTCCTACCCCTGGCAAGGCTGAGGGGACAAAATGGGAGAGAGCTGAAAGAATTCAAGAGCCAAAGAATGAGGAAAAGTGTCATGAAACTCTGCCATTCAGATATGACAGTGAATGTTGTAAACATGAAGATCTGGCAGCTATCGACACCTGTACCAGAATGGTCCATGGATAGAGGAGATACCCTTGAGGCCCCATCCTTTTGAGTAACTAATAATTGTTAATGGTTGCTTAGGGGGTGGTATCATTTTCTCAGATGATGTAGCCAGGGGGGAACTGGGTATGAAGAAGGGGTTCAGATGAAAAGGAAGGGGATACCAGAGGATAATGGGAGGTATATATGATCACAATACATTGTATGTATGAAACTATCATAAAAGAAAGAACAAAATGAACATTTAATGACCCCCAAATAACTCTCCAAAAGAGAAATGTAGTATTAATTAAAGTGTGTGTGTGTGTGTCCCATTCGTGTGTGTGTGTGTGTGTGTGTGTGTGTGTGTGTGGTGCTTGTGTGGTATATGTACAGTCCAGGTGGGTATGAGTACATATGCATGTGGGCTCATTTGTGTACAAATGTCTATGGAATTCGTAGGTCAACATTGGGTGTCTTCCCCAATTGTTCTCTAACTTATTTTTTTTTTTTTGAAGCAGGGTTTCTCCCTGAACCTGGTGGCCACTGATTGCCTAGACTGGCCAATGAATTCCAAACATCTATCTGCTCCATCCTCTACCTTAGCATTTGGGTTACAGACAAACACCATTACACCTGGCTCATTATATGGGTGACGGGAATCCAAACTTAGGTCCTTCTGATTGCTCAGCAGGCATTTTACCCACTGAGCCATCTACCTAGCCCTTAGATATTTTTAAATTTTCAAACCAGTGGTTGGTTCCTATGCAGAAACCACAGTTACTGAAGACTTTATACTCTGTACAATTTTCATGAACTGAAACATTTTGCAAAAATATACTCTAATTCTTCAACATAAAGGACAAAAAATTCCATCAACCTAAGAACCCTCAGGTTAACCCTTCATAGTCTCTCTGACTTCCCCCATCCACCCTCCATTTCATCCTTGACAACCATTACTATGGTCCCCATTTCTGTCACTTCATCATTTCAAGAATGTTAAGGAAAGGGAACCATGCAATGTTTTTTTTTTTTTTTGCAATGATTTTTCTCCAGTCATTATGATTCTCTGGAGAGTCATTCACTTTTTTCTTCATGTCTTAAGAAATAGTTTATTTCATGGTTTTATTTTGTGATACCATGGAATGTTTATTCAGTTTTGAAGGATATCTAGGTCATTTCCAGTTTGAGGTTATTGCAAAAACAGAGACTGTAACATTTAGGATACATTAAGTGAATAGAGGATTTTATTACTCTTGGATAAAAGTATGCAGTGCACTCATTAGATGAGCACTAGTTGTCTGGATTGTTAATTAAATAACAGCCAGAGTGGATACATCATCTTAAAAATCCCAACAACAATGTGACAAGGTATTATTCAATCTCTCTGTTTCCCCACCAGCACTTGGCATCACATATACACACATAACTCCCCCCCACACACACACATACACGCACACACGCACGCATACACATACAAGTATAATTCTGGTATGTGTGAATTGATCTCATTGTAGCTGTAGTCCTCTAGTGTCTAATGATATCAAACACTTTTTATGGGCTTACCATTTCTATATCGCTTCACTGATACAGAGATGTCTCTTGACTGCCATGTTTTCTATTACTAAACTTCCAATTGGATTATTTAATTTTGATGATGATAGTGCTTTATATATTGCATATACTATTCCTTTGTCAGATGTGTGGTATGCCAACATTTTCTCCCAGTCTATAGCTTACATTTTGGTTCTCTTAGGCAGACTTTTCCCAGAGCAATACTTTTTAATTTTGGTGCAACCTAATTTATCCCTTTTTAGAATTTTACAGAATGTGCTTTTGTTTTGCAGTTTAAGAATAATTTTCCTAAACCTTCATCTAAGGATTTTCTCAGTCTTATGCTTTACATTTAAGTCCATGAGTCATTTTTAATTCAAATTCCTGCATTTCTAACTATTAATATTGCCCACTAATCCTTCTTTATGAATGCTTATGACACATTAGAACCATTTGGAGAAACTTTAGAAAATTAAAAATCCATGGGCTTCAGTCCAGATTAATTAAATAAAAGCAGCTGATCATGAGTCCTTTAAATTAGCATTTTTTATAAAAAAATATTATGTGGTTCAGGTGATCAGTGAGCCTTGGAAAAAAACTGCTCTAGCCCTTTTTGAAACTATTATAATGAGACAGTGACATCTCTACCATAAGCTGCTATGAGACATAATGTAATGCAAATCCAGTTCTGCACAGGGAACTGTCTATGTTTTGTGTCTGTGTTAGTGGTTTAACTGCACCACTGGTCAGGTGTGTCACAGTCATCACAGGACTGTACAGCCTGTTTCCTCCTTTGTTGGCTAGAGAAAATAAAATAGTACTTAACTCATGGAACTGGTGACAGTGAAAATTGGAAAATGTACTTTAAAGATAGCTCCCCCACTATACATACATTTAATCTCACTTGTTCTTCCTCAGGAATCTCTAAAAAACGTACATATAATCATCCTTGCCATGAAATAATCTTCATACGGATGAACTTTTAATGTTTAGGAAGACACCTTTAATTAGCTCAGTATCTAGATGTTGTGGGTAGTCTGTGGGCCTCTCTAAGCCTGGTCAGTGATTTAGTATATTTTATTTAGGGAAAGAATTTGCACAAGTTTCCTCATTCAGAAAAAAGTAGGCTTGTTTTTCAGTCATTCATTACTGTACTTTTCTTATTATATATTCTACACTAAATATTTCAGTCTCTCTTTCCCAGGATAGTACTCTTATCTCAGGAGTTACTGAATTCCAAGAGTCAAGATGTCATCCCACTATTTCTTCTGATGATCTAGAGTATTCTAGAAGAGGATTTAGTGTATCTGTAAAATATAGAATGTCTTTACTAGAATCTCAGCCTGACCAAAATCAATTTGGGGAGGAAAGAGGTTTATTTAGCTTACAC